CCCTCTCAGTCTCAGTTTCCCCACTTGGCACAATGGGGGACAGGGGTTGCATTCCTGGGGGGGCCTTGCTTTCTCTTCCTTCTGTTCTCTCTCTGCCTCTTCTCCCAACTCCGCTGTTCTAGGTGTCTCTGCCCATCTCTGTTTTTATCCTTTTTGGAAGTACTGGGTATTGAAATCTGGGCTGGTGTTCTACTTCTTGAACCATGCCTCCAGCGTTTTTTGTTTCAGTCATTTTTTTTTCCCCCAATAGGGTCTTTGTGTTTTTGCCCAACCTAGCTTGGACCACAATTCTACTTCTTTTTCTTTTTCTTTCTTTTTCTTTTTTCTTTTGGTTGGTCATGGGTCTTTAACTCGGCCTGGGCGCTGTCCCTCAGCTCTCCAGCTCAAGGCTAGCATTCTGCCACTTGAGCCACAGCGCCGCTTCAGGCTTTTTCTGCTTATGTGGTGCTGAAGAATCGAACCCAGGGCCTCATGCACGCAAGGCAAGAACTCTACCACTGAGCCACCTTCCCAGCCTCTACTTATGTTTCTTCTGTAGCTGGGACGACAGGCAGGAACTACCACACCTAACATTTGAGATGAGCTCTTGGCAACTTTTTGCTCAATCTGGCCTGGAACTGTCATCTCATTTTTCCCCGCTAACCATTGCCTTCTCATTCCGCTCCTCTCTGTCTGTCCAGCCTTATTGTCCTCATGTCTAGCTCCACCCTCCTTGGGCTCTGGGCTGCAGCCTCTCCGCCCTCCACAGATGTCCTGGAACGGGTGGGAGGTTATTTTGGGAGCTGGTAGCTCCCCTGAGCCTTTCCCAGCAGCCATGGCGGGATGGAGAGCGCGAGAAGTGAGGGGTGGCCTGCAGTGGAGCACGGGGTGGTGACAGTGTCCATGGGGAGATGAGGGACCCCAGCCTGCCCCTCACCATTCCAGGGAGGCCGGCTCCCCCTGCCGGGTCCCTGCTGGCCCCAGAGCGTGGGCGCAGCATCTGTGCCTTCGGGTGGCCACTGGGGGGACCCTCCGGGCCCAGCCCCAGGCCTGAGCCACTCAGGGCGACTCACCGGCTCCGTGGGAGAGCGAGTGAAGTCATCAAGCTGGGCCCTGGGGCGCCGGACCCCATCCCCGCCCCCTTGACGGGGCCAGTACCTCATCCAGCTTTTGGGTGGTTAGAGATAAGCGTCTCAGGCTTTTCTTCCTGGGGCTGGCTCTGATCCATGGTCCTCAGATCTCAGCCTCCTGAGTAGCTAGGATTACAGGCGTGAGCCACGGGCGCCCGGCTACTTATCTTTCTTCTCTCACTGTTAGTGATGTTTGCACTCAGGGCCTTGTGCTTGTTAGGCAAACCCTCGACCACTTGAGCCGCTCTGCCAGTTCCTTTTTGCATTTGTTATTTCTGAGGTCAGGATTTGTGTTTGTGTGAAATCTAGCCTGGACCTTGATATCCTGCCTCTGCCTCCCATTTGTCTGGGATTACAGATGTGCACCACCACAGTTGGCCTTTTGGTTTGTTTTGAGAGACAGAGACTTGCTAGGTATGAATTCTAGACCTTCCTGTTTCCACCTTCTGAGTGAGTAGCTGGGATTACAGGCATGTGCTATCACATCCAGGCTAACATTTTCCATGGCGTTGTACTGAGTCCAGGGTGGGTTTTGCTCATATGTCCACTGGAACTTTTGAGGTGCCTCTTGGCTGTATGTGGGTGTTCAGTAGCTGTGCTGCAGGGCCATCTAGCAGAACCACACAGGGGTCTCCACTTCCTTCTGAGCCTGGTCACTATCTAGAACATTCTATCTCTCTCTCTCAGAGGGCCTGCCTGTCTTGCTTACCTCTTCATTGCATCATCCATCTGTGAGTATGTGCAGTTGGTGCTTTATAAATGCAGATGCAGAACTGATAGCCACCCAGGTGTGCCCCCCCTTCGTTCCCCCCACCATCCTTGCTCCCCATAGCACAGGGAGGCCTGCAGAGAGCAGTACTTGAACCTGTGGCTGGTGACCTGTGTCCCATGTGGCCCTTCCTGTCTCTGGCCTGGTCCTCGGGGCTTGACCAGCTGGGTTGGGATCCCCAGCCACCTTCTCATCTGACTGAATTCCTTGCCCTTCCTTCCTCAAATCCAGCCTGGGCTGCATCTGTTTATAGCTCTGGAGCAGGCCGCATCCTCTGGGTCTGTCTTCCATCTGGAAAAATCATCAAGGGCTCTGCAGGCCAGATGGTGGACGGAGGGCCAGGCCGCCTGCCCTGCCTCCACCTGCCCAGCCGGCCCTCGCACTGGCCTCGACGCTGCTCTCAGCTCCAGACACCCGTGTCTGTGGCCTGCCACTGTGAGCCTCCACTAAGATGGTGGCATCTCAAGGTCAATCGCCGCTGGATGGGGTTAAGGCCAAGGAGTTGACCCAGGGCAGCCGGCCCCATGCCCTGCATGGACTCAGAACCGTACCTCGTTACCAATGACACACACACACACACAAACCCCCACCACACACCACAGCCACACACACACACACCCGCCACACACCACAGCCAGCTGGAGCATCTGGGCCTGCTCTTCTGATCTGGCTCCTGACTGACCCTCAAGGCTGACCCAAGAAATACGCACACTTCCCACAATGACCTCTGCCCGTCCACCAGCGAAATGGGAGCGGGAGTCCTGGCCCAGCAGGGTGGGAGACGGCTTGAGTATAGACACAACCATATTGGAGGGAGCTCAGTGTCCCAAGCAGGCTACCCCAGGGCTGTCTGTCCTGAGCTGTGACCAGCTCAGCTGCCAGCAGGAGGCCTTGGTGGCAGGCAGAGCCAGGGCCAGAGGGGCAAGTGCAGGCAGGGGGCCTGGCGAAGGGACCTGTGGGCCCCAGTTGCTTCAAATGGGGCCCAGAAGGGGAAGTACCAGGCTCCGCACTGCATTGTGGGAATACCACAGGATTACGTCCTGACCACCTTACGTCCCCTACTTCCTGTTCCTCCATTGGGCCAAGGCAAGAGTTATGCTTTACTTGAGAATCCTCTCCCCTCTGTGCCTCGCTTTGCTCGCCTCTGTCATACACACTGGTCACTCCCCATATTTACCCCTCAGTGATCCGATGTTAGTTGTAACCACACCATGGGATGCTAAATCTCATCCCTTAGACTTGCCTCCCTCCCCAGACACAGCAAGTTCTGTGTGTATATGTGTGTGTGTGTGTGTGTGTCTGTCTTTCTGTCTATCTGTCTGACTCATTAACCATGACAAAGCTTTTCACCTAATACATGCTCTGCAAGTATTTGCTGAATGAACAAATTAGGACTGAGCAGGGTATTGCTTGCCTGTAATCCTGGCATACAGAAGGTGAAGGTAGGAGGGTCATAGCCCTGGGTCAGCCTGGACAAAAAACACAAGACCCTACTTGAAAATTAAGGAAAGCAACACAGTGCAGCTGCCTCTCAATTACAAGGCCCTGAGTTCAAATCCCAGTACCACCAAAACAACAACAACAACAACAACAAAAGCTGGCATGTAGCAAATGCTCTGTAGATGGCAAATGCCTCTGTGCCCTGGGGCAGGACTGGGCCACTGGCCTCAAGCATCTGGCCTGCACAGGGCAGGGAAGAGGTAGCGGAGCTGAGCCCATTCTGGGCAGAGCTGGGTGGAGCCACACCGCAGCCTGCTGAGACCCAAAGGAGCCTGGAGAGCGCACATCCGGGTGGGGGCAGGGAGCAGGTGGATTAGCACCTGGATGGCGGTTGCTCCCGGGCCCGGAGCCATAGCACTCGCACTCGGGAGCTGCACCCAGCTCTGCTGGCCTGCCAGCTGCTCAGGCACTGCCCACTGCACTGCCGGCCCCAAGAGGCCGGGCAGGGGGCAGGCCAGGGGTGGATCCAGAGTGGATCGGATCCACTCTCCGGCGGAGTGTGGGTCTGCCACATGGGGTCTCAGTCCCCCGGCCCATCCTGGCCCCTGGGTCTGCAGCTGCCTGGGTGGTGGGGAGTTTGGGGGGGATCCCTTTCCCATAGCTAGGCAGGATGAAAACCCAGGCCCGCCTAGGAGACCCAGTACTGCCCATCCGGTGGGACAGCTGGCTTTCCTGGAGCTGTGGAGACTAGGGCTGGGAGTGGGCAGTGTCAGGCTCCTGGGAGCCTCAGATCCCCTGGTGGGGAAGGGAAGATGGGCCTGCCAGAGATGGGCATCTCTGGCCTCCATGCAGCCTGCAGCCCGTCTGGAGGCCCAGCCCAGCTCTGAACCTCCGAATCCCAGCCAGAGCTATGGGTGGCTCATTCCTGAGCACCCCAGCTCATCTCAGCCAAGGAGGCAGACACAGAGCAGGCAACATCCCAGCCTCGGCGGTGGGTGGGCGGGCCCTGAGGCCCTCCTCTGGCCAGGGAGGAGCGAGGACCAGAGGTCAGTAGCCCAAGGTGACCAGCCAGGCCTTGGGCCCTGGACCTGACTGGCATAGTGTCCAGTGCCCAGGTTCTGTGTCCTCCGTGAGGGGCAGGTGGCTCTGGCCTTTGACCTCCTGCTGTCCAGTGCCCAGCCGCAGGCTCGCCCGCACACACATCCCCACGCAAGGACACCCCGAGACCCCAGGCCCACAGTTTGCCTGAGCTCTGACCCCAATGGGGTGGGGACACCCCCCAGCCACCCCCCCAGCCACAGCCACAGCATCCGTCCACCGATCCCCCATCCCAGCAGCCGCCTCCCTCGCACAGCCTGTGGGGACCCAGGCGCCGGGCCAGGAGGGCGCTGGGGTGTGGGAAAGGCCCTCCCCATCTGTCTGCTGGGCCTGGAATGCGCTGACCAGCGCCCGCCTAATCCTGTCTGCAGCCCATGGGGCCGCCCAGCCGCTGGGTCAGAGAGGACCCCAGAGGGCCGGGCAGCGGGCAGGGCTGGGGTGCCGATCCCTCCCCTTGTGCTCAGAGCCTCCTCCCAGCCCGCCTTTCCTGCTGTAATGGGGACCCATGGTGTGTGTGGGGGTGCTATGGCCCCCCAGGAGAGAGGGGCAGGAGGGAGGCCCCCGGGGTGGGGCTGCTGCGCCCCGCCCAGCCGCTCGGCCTATATCCCCAGCTGCTCCCTCTCCGCGGTGGCTGTGGACATGGCGCTGCAGGTGGGTGATGCCCAGGGATCAGGGTGGCCACGAACTCTGGGTCTGGGGAAAGGAGCAGGGCTCCCCAGGCCACCTGCCCCTCCCCACAGACCTGAGGGACTGTTTCTGCCCTCTTGTCAGTCCCCAGATGGAAAGAATTTGGGGGTGAAAGTCCCGGAGTAACCCCCCCACGAGAGGGTCCAGGGGGACAGGGACCAAACACAGGGTGGATGGGTGGGGCTGTGGAGGAGGAGGTCTTGGCTCAGCTTAAAGATCTGTGTCCATGACTTTGACCTTGACTGTCAGTTTGAAGCCTTCAGTGCAGGGGGCCTGGCCCCCGGCTGGAGCCTGACCGTGCAGGGGCAAGCAGACTCCGGACAGGACAGGTAAGGGGCAGTGTGCTTCCCTCTGGGCCTCTGATGCTGGGGGAAGGGGGGTCGCATTCAGTGCTTACCAGCCTCAGAACCACACAACATCCCCAGGTTCGAGATCAACTTCCTGTCAGAGTCGGGGGACATCGCCTTCCACGTGAAGCCCCGGTTCTCCAGTGCCACGGTGGTGGGCAACGCCTTCCTGGGAGGCCTCTGGGGCCCGGAGGTGGTGTCCAGCATCTTCCCTCTGGCCCTGGGGGAGCCCTTCGAGGTGATGGGGGCCGTGGGAGGGGGTGGGAAAGGTGGGAGGAAGCTGGGCGGGGGTCCCAAGCCCCAAAACAGAGAACCCATGGTGGATGAGATTGCAGGCCAGCACCGCAGACACACCGCTGGTCAGAGTGACTCCTCCTTCCTTAGTTTCCCCATTTGTGCCACAGGGAATTCACTACCCTGGCTACCAAGCCTCAGACTTGGGAGGGAGGACAGGTTCCCCAGCATGGGGTGGGAACCGGTTCTGTGAGTCCCTGCTGTTCTTCCTGGAGCCCTCCGGCCCTCTGCGGAGATGGGGGGACTGGCCTCCAAGGCTGGCTGGGGACCAGGATCGCCCACTCTCCTACCGGGCAGATGGAGGTGAGCGCCGATGCCGAGCACTTTCACGTCTACGCCCAGGAACAGAAGGTGCTGCAGTTCCCGCACCGCCACAGGCCACTGGCCACTGTCACCCGGGTGCAGGTGTTCAGTGACCGCCCCCTGGCCCACGTGGAGCTGGCCAAGCGGAGCCTGAGCTGGGGGTAACGTCCCCGCCCCAGCAGGCCCCCAACGCCCCCCAGGACCAGCGGCGCCCCGGCCCCTTCTGCTCAGGTGGCTGGGCTCAGGGTGGACCCCGGTCCTCCGTTGCAGGGATGGGGGTGACTGACCCATCGCAGTCCTAGCTGCAAGCCTCGGCTCTCCATGCACCTGGAATCCCACCCGAGGCAAGCTGGGGGGATCCTCTGGTTTTGTGTGAACCCCCAGCTCCACAACTTCAATAAAATATGAGCAGGCTGCAGGTGCCTGGCTGCCATGGGGCGGGGACACTGCGAGAGAAAGCCCAAGGGGAACCCTAGCTCCCCCCCCCCACCGCCCTTCAGGGTCTGAGATGGGGCTGCAGTGAACACAAGATCCCCCTTCCGATTTCTGATGGATACATGACAGGCCTGACCACAGGGTGTCGGGCCTGAATCCACAAGGCCCCAGACAGGGCTCTCCACGGCCGCTGGGGGCCACCCCACGGCAGGAAGCGCGGGGGGTGGGGGGGAGTCCTGTCCAGGAATCACCGCAGAGGCCCCAAGCTCCCTGAGGCCTCCTCTCTTTCACTTCCTCTAGGGCTTTTCCGGCCTCTTCTCATCCCACCTGGAAACTAGAGCAGACAGACAGACCAGACAGACAGACATGCTGCCAGCCCAGCCCTGGGGGGGAAGGGGAGCGGGGCTAGGAGGAGGAAGGAGGGGGAGGCACCATGGTGTCCAGCACAGCGGGTGGTGGCTCTCAGCTCTGCAGCCTCCAGGTTGGGTGGCCTTCCACAAGTTTGGCCTTCTCTGAGCTTGTTCTTGTCTGTGTGGGGCAAGAGCCCCTGGGGAGGTCAGAGCTTCAACAGCTCACAGCATGACAGGTGTCTGCTAGTTTGCATAGCTGTGTGGTAATTTGTTGCTGTGGGGCCTGAACTCTGGGCCTGGGCGCTGTCCCTCAGCTCTTCAGCTCAAGGCTAGCGCTCTACCACTTGAGCCACAGCGCCACTTCCAGTTTTCTAAGTGGTTTATTAGAGATAAGAGTCACAGACTTTCCTGTCTGGGATGGCTTTGAACCGTGATCCTCAGATCTCAGCCTCCTGAGTAGGTAGGATGACAGATGTGAGCCACAGTATCTGGCTATGTGTTAGTTATTTTTTGTGCTGGTTCCTGGGCTTGAACTCAGGGCCCGAGTGCTGTTCCTGAGCTTTTTTTTTTTTTTTTTTGACTCAAAGCTAGTCCTCTACCACTTGAGCCACAGCTCCACTTCTGCTTTTTGTGTGTGTGTGTGTGTGTGTGTGTGTGTGTGGTTAATTGGAGATATGAGTTTCATGGACTTTCTTGCCCTGGCTGGCTTTGAACTGTGATCCTCAGATCTCAGTTTCCTGCATAGCTAGGATTATAGGTGTGAGCCACCAGCACCTGGCTTGTGTGTTTATTTTAGTATGACCAACATTAGGTATCTAATCATTAGATCATGTTAATATCTTGGTGCATATCTAGCTATCTATCCATCATCCAGCTAGTTAGCTGTTGTCTGTCTGTCTGTCTGTCTGTCTGTCTACCACTCCTCTGTCCACTTGACACTGGTCTGAGTGAGTCTCAGCTCTGGTTTCCTCTGTCAGACTCGGGGCCTCAGACTCGGGGATGATGGAGCCGCTGCTCAAAGCATAAAATGCAGGCCAAGCTTTGTGAGCAAGGGCTGGCACGGGACATAACATCAGTACCTAGAGTTCCATGCACCCTCTGAGGCTGTATGGATGGGGAGATGGAAGGGGAGATGGATAGGGGAGATGGAAGGGGAGATGGAAGGGGAGATGGATAGGGGAATGGAAGGCATCAGAAATGTGAGCGGGGCTGGGGAGGGCCTAGCACCCGCAGTGCTGGAAAGCGGGAGGTGCCTGGGTTTCCCAGCTGGCAGGGCTGAGGGAGCTGCTGGCGCCCGAGCTCCAGGTGGGACAATGGTGGCCCGGACTCCAGCTGTGGGGCTTCCGTCCTGTCTCCGCTCCCCTCCCCAGCCTGTGTCCTCGGCCCAGCTGGCCACCAGCCCCTTCCTGTCGCCCCTGCGGGAGGCCGAGCCTCAGTGTCAGCCAGGCGGGGCCAGGGATGCTGAGGACCGGAAGTGGCCGGCCCAGGCCAGTCTTGCTGGGAAGGGGCCGGGTGCAGGGTCCTGGCTGTCTGTGCCCGCGCCCGCTGTCCTGTTCCAGGGGTGCTGAGCCCACAGGGGGCCCCGGGAGTGCTTGTGCCCGGAGACCAGGTACTTGGTTCATGATTTTGGCTGCTCAACTTCTTTGGGCCTCAGTTACCCTGTGGGTAACCAATTCCCCACCTTGCAGTTATATGAGTAGCGCGTGCACACACACACACACACACACACACACACACACCCCTCACGGTCCCTTGACCCCTGACCTTCCACTGCCCTCAAGGTCCTGAGGCATCTTCCATCCTCAGTCTCTCCATCTGTGAAGTGGGCTGTGGGGAGCTGTGGTCCCCAGGCCTGTGGCTGCAGGAGCTGCGCATCCTTCTAAGGCCAGCACGGTGCTCAGCACCGAGCACTGGTCCCCACTCCCCACCAGACCTGCCACCCCCAGCCAACCTCACCCCACTGGCCTGCCGCCACACCCTGGCCTGGCACTGCCATCTAGTGGCAGAACTCACCGGGATTCCCCTGGCAGCCACTTCCTCTGCCTGCACCTTAACTGACAGGATGCCTCCTCCTCCCGGAAGCCTTCCCTGGTCTCCAGCTAGCTGTTGCAGCCTTCTGCTTCCTCCAGGCCAGCACGTGACCTCACATCTGACCTCACCTGGAGGTCAGTGACTTCACCTCACCAGCCCCCGAGATGGGCCTGTCCTACATTACATGGAGCTCTGAAAATGCGGGATGAATGAATGAAGAAATGAGTGATCTGGGGACCCCCTCCTAGATACCCTGGGACCCTAGAGGTACCTAAAGTGGCCCTATGCCCTGGGCAAAATAAATCCCTCTACAGCCTTGGAGCCTAGAAACTCTGCCTTCATCTAGTCCCTGACTGGATGCCTGCATCCCAACCCTGCAGCACATGGAGCCGGGCTCTGCCCCAGGGCCTTTGCACCAGCTCCTCCCTGTGTTACCTTTCTGAAGCTATCAGCCTGGCCCCTCCTCATCACTCCAGCCTTTCTCCTGGATGCTTCCTGCTCAGAGAGACCCCTCCCCTGAACATCATCTGCCATCACAGCATTTGCTCCCTTTACCTCCTGCACAGGATTAGATTATCTGATTTTCCCCACTATGGCTCCCTGATAGATAGGCAGCTGCTCTAAAAAGGAGCAAACCTGCCTGCTTACCCCAGCGTCCCCACACAGGAAGCAGGCTGGGCTCATCTGGGGTACCAGGAAAGAGGTGTCAGATTCATGAGGAAATGGAACCAGGTCCCTTTTGAATTCTTCTTTCTTTCTTTTTTTTTAATGGTACCAGGGTTTGAACTCAGAGTCTCAAGCCGCTCTCCTTGGCTTACTTGCTAGACTGGTGCTCTACCACTTGAGCCATGTCTCCAGCCTGGCTTTTTGACAATTAGAGATGGAGTCTTTTGTACTTTTCTCCTGGGCTAGCCTCAAATTGCAAGCCTCCAGCTGTGGGCCTCCTATGCAGCTAGGATTACAGGTGTGAGCCACCAGCACCTGGCTCTTTTAAACTCTTTCAATGACAAGTAGCTCATTCCTCCCCAGAACAGCCATTTGCCCACCTACAGGAAACACATTGCAGAGTTAAGTCCCAGTCTCTTCCCATCCCCTGGGATTTCACACGCTCCCTGACACCTTCAGAGACCCTAAATGTTGCAAGAGCACACTAGCAGGCCCCTGCTCGTCCTCTCTCCAGTACTGGCACAGGGGGCTGATGCCTTGGGCTGAGTCTCTCTGGGCTCAGTGGCTGTTGGGCAGGAGTCTGTGGTCCAGGAGAGTTATTCCAGTTTCCCAAGGCCACTAGCTGACCGGGGAGTGCCCAGCGCTCTGGGTGGCCAGGAAGGGGACTCAAATGTCCACAGGCCCAGGAGGACAACCATGACTGCCTATGGAAGCAGCGTAGGGCGGCAGAGACCTGCGGGGCTCATGGCTAACACGCTAACACACGTGTCCAGCCATCCAGCGTCTCCCCACTGCGCACAGGGAAGCAGCTCTACACAGAGCTTTTGATGCTAAAATCTGGAGTTTAATTGCGGTCTGAATTGCTCTATTTTTTTTGTTTGTTTGTTTGTTTTGTTGTTGTTGTGTGGTTCCTGGGGCTTGAACCCCGGGCCTGGGTGCCGTCCCTGAGCTTTTGTGCTCAAGGCTACCCCTCTACCACTTAAGCCACAGCAGCATCTCCTGCATTTTGGGTGGTCAATTGGAGGTAAGAGCCTCACAGACTTTCCTACCCAAGTTGGCTTTGAATAGGGATCCTCAGATCTCAGCCTCTCGAGTAGCTAGATGACAAGCGTGAGCCCTGGGCACGTGGCTCTGAATTGCTCTGGTTTTTTAAACATCAACCATTAGGGTGAAACCTTTGCTTTCAAAACAACTCTTGAGGCTGTGAAGGTGGCTCAGTGGTAGAGTGCTTGCCTTGCATGCCTGAGGCCCTGGGTTCAATTCCTCAGCACCACATAAGCAAAAAGAAAAAAGCCGGAAGTGGCGCTGGGCTCAAGTGGTAGAGCGCTAGCCTTGAGCTGAAGAGCTGAGGGACAGAGACCAGGCCCAGAGTTCAGGTCCCACAACCGGACCCAAAAACAAAAACAAAACAAATAAAAACAACTCTTGCTAAAACAGGTACCAGTGGCTCATGCCTGTCATCCTAGCAACTCTGGAGGCTGAGATCTGAGGATCACAGTTCAAAGCCAGCCTGAACAGACAAATCTGTAGGACTCTTTATCTCCAAATTAACCAACAAAAAAGTAAGCCAGACGTGGAAATGTGGGGCTCAAGTGGTAGAGCTCCAGACTTGAGTAAAAAACAACAACAACAAAGCCAACCAAGACCACAAAGCCCTGAGTTCAAGCCTTAGTACCAGCAATAAAGAAATTAATTAATTAATTATGTGGTATATGGCAAGTGTCAAGAGTCAAACATAGACATTTAAATAAATTAAAGAAATGACTGTTTTGATGGGGTTAGGGGTGGGGAATGGGAAATAATGGGAAGGGGTGACATTTG